TCGGAGGTGCTGGTAGACGGCCCTTGTGAAAAAGTGCCAGGCCTAGGTTCGCTGGCCTGAGCCGTCAAAAGTCTGTACAGCTCTGCCTTTCTAGCAGTGGCTGAAAAGGGGATACCCCTGAGTCTAAGTTCAGCTGCAATTTTTGGGATAGTCCATAATCTCAGGGACCTGGGGGTAGAGGGGGTGAGGGATTCTTCTGGAGACCCAGGCCTGGCTGGCATGATGGGTACTTTGTCCAATGGTAGATCGTCGATGGGAATTGCTTCTTGCGACATTCTGAAAAAGGAATAATGATTTAAATTAGGTAGGGTGTGAAGGGTAGTGTGAAGGAAGAACGAGACCTTTGGAGAAATGGCCTGCTGACTAGTGCCAAGGTGAAGAACTTAACTATAGCCAAGTAACAAGTGAGGCCCTGCTAATGTTAAGTAGCGGTGAGAGGCTCTACCTATGATTTGGGCTGAGGGAAGTCGTGGCCACTTAACGTGGTGCCAGGATGTTGGCCTCTTGATGACCATAAGAGATTCAAATACGTGTGGCCGTGACTTGAGAAGCCCTAGCTGTAGCCCTAAAGAAGGGCAAGTGAGGAGGCTAACTATGATTTTGGACGTGAGGCTGAACCTCCGTGTTGAGGTGGGGAGTAGGCCTCGCAGGACTGGTTAACTTACTTAGGGTTGCTAAGGCCAGCACCTATCCTTGTATGCCAGTTCTCTAAACCTGATGGGGCTTGTCTCCTTAATGATGTGACTGGACACATATAGAAACTAACCTTGAGTATTACTCTTATCACTTAGTGCATGATACAGTGGGTCTTGGATACGAATTGCCTCAGAAGAATAACTGGTCCGGCCGAGGTATCCTATGGATAAGATAAATGCTAGTGGGCCTAAAGCGTGCCACTGGTATGCATGATGTATGTAAAGATGTCAAACATATGACATTACGTTACAATGATACTGTAACGTAAGAACCCGTGTAAGATGAGGGACCTGAAAGTTGGTTCATACCTAGAGACAAGCCCCAGGTTACCATAATTTGGTAATGTAATGAAGGAAGGCTGAGTGAGGCCTTTAGGAGAATAATAATGGTGATGAGTAAGATTAACAATACCTGGTACTGAAATACAGGATACCAGGTTGGCTGTTGGTTGGTGAAAGTGTAGAAAGCTTGAAGGGACTGCGGTATTAACGCAGGTCTAGGTAATAAACGTAGAAATAAAAAACAAGTGATGTACAGTTATTAGTTTGTAGAAGCAGAGTGACATTGGTTGGAAGGGGATTATGGGTGAGATCGTAGTGAGGGGTCTCAATGTGACCCATGCAGAAGTTTGGAAACCCGCATGAGGGGGAGGGTGGGTTTTCCCGTGGAGGCTGAATGAGGCCTCTGGGCAGGATAGCTGTAACGAGTAAACCACTATACCTGATACTGCAGGACAGGATACCGGGTTGACATTTCCTGAAGTCTACTTGAAGGAAATGCTGAGGAGTCTAAAATCATAATATAGAGCTAAGTACTGTAATAAGTATACAGCTGAGAGAAACAGTGAGTGAGCAATTGTGCCTTTGGTCAGTACTGTGCCTGACGTAAAATGAACCGTGATTGAATTTGGGAGATAGACGTGAAAAGTAGTGTGTGCTTGTCCTATGGGCATGCTACCGAAAATAATAAACGTATGACCTTTGTAGGAGTCAAACTGTAATTAGTGAAAGGCTAATCATGCAATCATCATGCAATCATAAAAAGTAAGAGTGGATTAATGATAACCTGTGTAACTAATTTAGCTGGAAAAAGTGAATGAAAAATGAAGGATCCCTAAACCTGTATAAATTTAAAACAGGCAGTAAATTAAGTGAAAGATTTTAAGATGTAGTGCTCTGTTCATTTGTATGAACGAACGGTATAACAGGTACAACACAGTACAAGATAAGGGGTTTTTAAGCAGGGAAACAGGCTGGCGTTCGGCTAAATTACCTGAAATGTAAGAACTGCATGCATACATGGTGACTGCGGTCGGCTGTTTGACCGCACGAAAGAATGAACGAATGTTAGTATACCCTGCGGTCGGCTGTTTAGTTGCACGAACCGCAGAAGTGCACGAACGGGTAAGTATTCACGAAAAAGGTATAGTATTAGTAAAGGGAGCCTACCCCCACGTTTATAGGCCCCAAAGTGGGAAATAGCCAAATGCTATTTCCCACGTTATGCTTACACAGACATGCTGGTCTTGTGACCGGAAGCCGGGTACCGTGACCGGGGAGAAGCCGGGTGGTAGGACCAGAGGTCGGAGGCAGAGGATACTGCTGGCGACAGGACTCCTGCTGGAAACTGGAACTGTTTGGCGGGAAAATGGACCGGAAGTGCTGGTTGATAAGGTGAGTCAATCAGCTTGAATGGCATAGGCGAGTAGGGGCTAGGAGTTTTGGTAGGGGTCATAACTCCTCCCACAAATTCAGGCCTAATGGCCTTTTAACATATATTGTTTTAGTGTTAGCCTGCAGGGGAATTTAAAAATGCTAATGTAAAAAATGAAGTAATATATCCATTATCCATGTTGCTCTAGAGATAAAAGCTGTATACCGAGATCTAAACAGGCTGGCCCTGGCTAGTCTAAGGAGCACACTCAACAAACCTTTTGCACAAAATCTATGTGTGCCTCTTACAGTTGTACTTAGTACTCATTCATAAACAGTATAGTAACAACATTATTGCTGTACAGAAGACACCAAGAAAGGAAATTCCTGCTCTGTAGACAATGTGGAACAGTCAGGACTGAGTGCAGACACCTATTGTCGTACCTACCAAGTGCCCTATTTAGGAGGTAAAGTCCTTATTTTGGATCCAAATCCCTCTGTCGCTCTTTTCTATCCTAATGTCCCCTTTTCTAGGAGCTCAATATTGTTGGTGTGTCTGAGTGTATAACAGAGCTCCACAGCAATAATACTCCCAGTAATGTGTCTTTAAACTACCATAACTGTGTTTAGAAATCATTCTGTATAACTGTAACTGTAGATGTATAAATTGTTATTAGTAAGTTACCTCAAATTTTTCAGAACCGCCACGGCCCCGGCCACACATCCCACTTCTTAAAGTGTCTTTTTCGAAATGTTGGGAGGTATGCTTGAAGATTGACAAAATGTTATTTGAATAAAAAATACAAAAACATTTACTTTACATCGCCGGAATTTGAATGTAAATAAAGGATATCTGTTATATATATTAAAATAATAATAAAATATAAATAAATAATATTATCTTTATTTATTACTTGTATTAAGCAAATATGTCTTTGTGAGTGATGAAGAAAAATGTAATTTAAAAATCCATTCACTCTCACTACCCTGTGGTTGGGCTCCACCGTCTAAACTCTGTCATTGTTAGAAGCTGTGTTATTTGCATAGGCTATCAGTACAGATAAAATCATGAAACAATGTTTCTCCTCATTTGCAACATGCGTGAAATTGTGGAATTCCGAGGGTTCATTTGGATACTGGGCAGATGTAAGTCCATTAGTTCATAGAAGACCAAATTAGCAAAAATGACTTTTTGTTTTGTATTATGTTAGTGTAGGATTTACCTAACAGGTTTGCCTTGACTTGGCAGGTGAGCTTACACTTCAATGGCCATTGGAGCAATACTAAAGACGAAATGTGCATAGGGACTTGGCAGAGTGCGCAGGTGACTTTGGATTTTATACTATGTATATGGCTGATGAATACTATAGTCATGGCTACCACCCAGGAGTAGTGGGTTTTTGAGCCCACGGCTTAATTTTGTGTGTTTGAAAACATAGCTGACAATTTACACTTTAGTAAACATCTCAGTATGTATTTGCTAGCAATTGGCATGCACACCGTGTTGTTATCTATAACATGCTACTATTTGGATAGTAGGATGAAAACCTTGGTAAGCTGTTCAATGACAAATAAAACCGTTTTTGGCATCATGAGCTCTTCTTAACCTCAAGGACGATTTCCTGCAGATGTTCCAGCTGTTTGACTTTGCAGGGTATCCTGTTACACTCTTCTCTTGAAAACAAGGGCCAACATAAAAGTGTGTTAGCAATGTTCATTTTAATGCGAAGATATGTGCTTCAACATAGTACCCTTTTACCACTGTCCATTTCAGTGTCACAGAAGGTTCCAAACAACAAACCCAAGAGAAGATCTGATCGATTACCTGCGTCTACCATCACCACTGATGCCAAATCAATGGCAAAGTTTACAAAATAATAATTAACCATTTTCCTCATCCTTGTGATAAACTAAATTGTTTGTGATTCCTCTACATTAAGAGGTCCCTCTAAGCACCAATACCTCAAATATCTATTCATATTAATGAAGTTGTGTCTATGGACCATGTTCTTTTTGCTCGGCAAGGTAAATGTCAGAGACACAGCAATGTTTACATTTTAACTAAGCCACATCTGCACTGACTGTCTGAGAGAAAGCCACTAGGGACACTTCCTAATTCAAAACTTTATTTTTTCCTTCATAGTCAATGACATGAAGCACAGCATGATGACTTGGATTCAATGCTTTTCTATAAGAAGCATCAAATTGGCATGGATTGGCTAATGTTGCTCATGCACCATTGGTCAGCAGTGATCCTCTGTGAGAAGCATTGGATTGGACAAAGAAAATCCCTTGTGATGATCTCAGAAGATAAGGAGCGACCACCTGTCTGTCCTGGTGAAGAAAACATATTTTTTTTTATTTTACGAGGAGGGAGCCCATAACCTAAAAAAAAAAAAAAAAGAAAACACTAACATTGCATTAGTACATTTCAGTTTCATATTATTCTCACATTATTTCAGAAATTGATGTCAAAATGAAAGATTCTTCGGGGGCGTGGCTTCGGACCGCATGGAAGAGGTCGCATAAGCGGTGAGCTCCGCCACACCGTGGGCTTAACAGCGTGATATCCCAGCAAACCAGCCACCGAAAACGGCCCTACCAGGCACTAACATCACTCGGAACAAGATGACAACAAAAATAGCAAAAAAAATGAAACAAACGATCGAATCGCACCTGAATGTGCAGCAAGCAACCCCTACGCAAATCCAAGATGGCGCCCGAGACACCGGATCCCCCATACTGAAACCTGAGGTAGGAGACAGCCAAAACAGCTTTCAAAGCACAGATATGACACCTGCCACAGATGCATCAATAAGCACAATGCTAGAAAGGCTTAAAGCAGCCCTATGCTCTGATATACAAAAAATGGCATCTGATATAAGAACTGACATCCAGGCACTGGGGGACAGGACAGCACATTTGGAAGAAAAAACAGAGGGTCTATTAGAAGCGCACAATGACCTAGCAGAGGCGCATGTAGCGCTGGAAAATAAGGTCAAATACTTAGAGGGGAAGATTGCAGATAATGAGGACCGAGATAGAAGGAACAACATTAGGATCCGTGGAATATCTGAAAATGTGGGACCACAAGACCTCCCACATTATGTACAGAAGCTGTTTAAATCTATGGTCCCAACGCTAACAGAAGCCGACCTCCGACTTGACAGAACACACAGACTGCCCAAGCCACGATATCTGGCAGCTACCATTCCCCGAGATGTTATCACTAGAATCCACTACTTCTCGGCCAAAGACCAAATAATGCAGGCCTCCAGGCTGAATATACCCCTTCCGGACGGATACACAGACCTTAAATTGTTCATAGACCTATCAGCGGCCACCATGTTTAAAAGAAGATCATTTGCACCTATAACAACGGCTCTCCGAAACGCAAATATATTGTATAAATGGGGATTCCCTACAAAACTAATCATCAAGAGAAATGGAATAGACCGAGCAATCCTGACACCGGAAGAAGGAAGGAAAATTCTGGGTGAATGGAACATTCCAGTCCCAACAACTGACCCAAGAAGTTCGGACATGCCACCACCCCGTAAAGTGACGAGAGACTGGCAACACGTTCCATGGATCACGACAACCCCTCAAAGCCGAAGAAATCCTCATCCCTAAACCCTCTCCATCTGCGCACATGGACATGTAACTTTACTAATTAATCTGGTTTCATGTTTAACAGGTTGAATGTGTGTAAGAATGTGCTGATGTATGGCACATCTCTGATGCAATAATGACAACAACAAAAAAGCCCACGGTGGGCGTTAGACCACTGCTAACTGTATAACTGCTGTTTTAGCTTTATACCTGCTTCCTTTTTATATGTTTATGTTTTTTTATTTTTTATTTTTCTTTTTCCTTTCTTTCTTTTTCTTTACCTCTTCTTTCCTCATCTCCGCCTTCTACACGAGGTGGACACTGGCTATCACAACTTACTTACTTAAAAACCACTAACCCCCACGTAAGGCTTACTAGGTAGGCCCCCACGTACCCGTCTGCAAATCTTTGCACTAAGCCTGAGAGGCTAACGGGCAATTGTACACAGTTTACTTTCCCCCCAATCCCCCTCGATTGACCGTCAGGTCACCCTCCCACAGTTTAGGTAACATCCCAACAAACCTGTGCTTGTCCCACTCCACCAACTGAACTAGTCAGTGATCAAACCATAACACGTAGGGAAAACTGTACCATGCCGCTAAAATTTCTCTCGCTAAACACCAAAGGCTTAAATTCGCCTAACAAACGTAGATTGGCCCTCCAGGAGGCCAAGAAACAAGGAGCACAGGTGGCATTTTTTCAGGAAACCCACTTTCAGTGGGGATCCCAACCCAGGTTCAACTCTGCTTGGTTCCCAGTAGACTACCATACGTGCTACCACAAAAAAAAAAGAGGTGTATCGATATTAATAAATAAGAATGTTGTTTTTGAACTTGTACGAAAAATAAGTGACAAAAAGGGTAGATACCTTATCTTACAATGTTGTATGAACAATCAACCGTATACATTGATAAATGTCTATTGCCCTAACGAAAACCAACAAGTATTTATAGCTAACATGTTCTCTCTCCTGTCAATGTACAGTTTTGGGGAGGTAATCCTTGGAGGCGACACTAATTTTCTCCTAGACATCAATATGGACTCCTCAGCCGCGAGAACGGTAACCATATCCACTTCAAAACAGAGACACACACAAACATCCAACATCCGCAGAATACTAACGACACATAACTTTGTAGACCCATGGAGAATATCCCACCCAGCTGAAATCGATTACACATGCTACACCGCTGCACACAATAGCTACTCCAGAATTGACAGATTTTTAATAAAGAACACATCACTAGAGAGAATAATAAGTACAGAAATTGGTATCATATCATGGTCAGACCATGCCCCCATCACTCTGACCATATCTGAACAATGCCCCTCCCCTGGCCTAACCGCCTGGAGACTAAACGAATCCCTACTCCAGGATCCAGTCATAGTATCCCAAATCAGGACAGACCTCCAAAACTACTTCACAGAAAATGTTCGCCCCGACACATCGCCAAATTCTGTCTGGTTAGCACACAAAGCGGTGATCAGGGGCAGTTTTATAAAACACGCAAGTCAAGCCAAAAAAGTACGCCAAGCTCAATACCTAGGAATCATCCAAGAAATAACGGCATTAACACATAGAAACAAATGCTCACCATCAGCCACAACCAAAACAGCTCTCCTGCAAGCTCACACTAAATTACAAAACTTTGAACTGGCCAAAACCACATACCTGCTACAAAAATACAAACACAGGTACTTCGCCTATGGCAACCGAGCAGAAGCAAAACTAGCCTCACAGCTCAAACAAAGATCAGCCGCCTCCAGGATTGCCTTCCTAAACACAAATACTGGCCAGAAAGTTAGCGATCCAAACAAAATTGTAAACGAATTCTCCACATATTATCACAAACTGTATAACCTGAGTGAAGACGGAGGAACGAAAGTCCCTACGCTTGCAGATATTGACAATTTTTTAGCAACTGTTCACCTCCCATCCCTGTCATCAGATAAAATACAACAACTCAAACAACCGATATCCCATGAAGAAATATCTAAAGCCATAGCTGACTTACCATCACACAAATCCCCAGGACCAGATGGCCTACTTAATAGATATTATAAAGAATTCTCCAAACTACTACTCCCCCACCTCCTAAACCTATACCAACACAGTTTAGACACGGGAGCCTTACCAGAGGAACTACTGTTAGCTCACATCTCGACATTACCCAAACCAGGCAAACCACCCACCACCTGCAAAAACTTCAGACCAATATCCCTTCTAAATGGGGATGCCAAATTATATGCGAAAATGTTAAGTAACAGGCTCACAGCCATAATAAGCGAACTAATACACAACGATCAATCAGGGTTCGTCAAGGGGAGACAGGGCTCCGATAACACACGAAAAATTCTTAACATACTAGCTACCATGGAGAGGGGGTCGGTCGGAGGCCTCCTGCTGGCACTTGATGCGGAGAAGGCCTTTGACCGGCTCAATTGGGCCTATATGCAGAAAGTATTACAAAGATTCGGCTTCCCAGACGAATTTATCAAAGGGATTATGGCGCTATATGTGAAACCGGCGGCCAAGGTGGCCCATGGTGGCTTCCTCTCAGCCCCCTTCTATATATCCAATGGGACACGACAGGGATGCCCCCTATCCCCCCTACTATATATACTATCCCTCGAACCGCTAGCACAAAAAATAAGAAATGACGAACGCATACAAGGCGTCAAAATCTTAGGCAAGGAATATAAACTAGCGCTATTTGCAGACGATATCTTAATCACACTAGAAAACCCTCAAACATCAGTGCCCCACCTGTTGGAGACCTTAGAAGGATTCGGGGACGTATCACACTACCGTCTAAACCAAGACAAAACGCAAGCATTACCCATCAAACTCCCCTCCTCCACCACAGCTGTGCTCAAAGACAAATACCTCTTCGATTGGAGGACAACCTCACTCACTTACCTTGGCATAAAAATTGCACCTACCATAGCAGAAGTATTAAAAGTAAATTATCTCACACTCCCACAACAATGCAAGAATGAAACACACAAATGGTCGCAAACACACATCTCTTGGTTAGGCAGAATAAATGCGTATAAAATGGTGATACTCCCAAAAATACTGTATATATTCAGAATGCTCCCTCTACAAGCACCAAAAACACTTATAAGAACACTACAATCCATATGTAATGCGTTCATATGGGAACACAAAAAGCAACGCGTCGCAAGTGCGATACTATACCAACACTCAAAACATGGTGGAGTGGGGTTGCCCAACATAGATCTGTACTATAAGGCATCTGCCTTAGCAACAGGGATACTGCTCCACACTACTGAGGGGATCATACAATGGGTGGACATGGAAAGAGCCCAGTTCAGCAACAACTTAGCACTAGCACACTTGTGGACACCAAGAAAATTAAGGTCGTTAAGATCTGATCTATTACCCACAACAAAATATACTATCCAAATGTGGACAACATTTCTAGAAAAGGTAGGGGACAAAAATAAATTCCAAGCAGAGGCACCATTGATGGCCTTAAGGGCTATCACGCCAGACATACGCTTACACAAGTGGTCGTTGGCAGGAATAACACACATACACCAATTACTTAAATCTCAAAAAATGATGACATTCCCCGACATACAACACAAATGGGAACTTCCCAATGACGCGTTCTTTACATACCTACAACTTAAGGGAATCATCACCACACATGTAAGCAACCAACATTCAAACCATGCTCAAATATCCCTACCAACAAAGGCAATCATAGAAAGGTGCTGGAAACACCCCACAAAACCAAAAACCAGTTCCCTATGCTATAAAGCGTGGGAAGACACTATACCTAAGATATCACCACGCTGCAAAACTCAGTGGGAACTAGACTGTGCCATCCAACTCACAGACGAAGACTGGCTACATGTACTAAACGACCTATCTAAATGGACAAAATGCTACACACACATAGAAGCACACAGAAAACTCATGTACAGATGGTACCTAACTCCACACAAACTCCACAAAATATACCCAAACACGACTCCTCTATGTTGGAGATGCTCCGCAGAGGAGGGCACACTTATACATGTCTGGTGGGAGTGCCCCAACATCCAGCCCCTATGGACAGAGGTACACAATACGATCAGAGCACTCCAAATCCCAGATACCCAAAAGACACCCGACACATATTTACTCTTGAGATTCCCTCCGACACTCCGAAACTCGCACAAACAGCTGTGTGCCATTATCGCTCTAGCAGCTCGCAGCCTACTGGCCCTCCACTGGAAATCCACAACTTGCCCAAACAAAACCCAACTTTGGGACAAAATACACCAATTCTACATCTACGAAAAAATGGCCGCTCC